CGGCGACGCGTCGACGCCCCCGCACGCCCTGAACAGCACTTGTGTTTTATCAGCCGACGCGTTGCCGAACCATACAAGAATGCCGTACGTACAATGTCCGTCTACAGCTCCCCCACCTCCCACGGCACGCCCTCCCCCTCCCACTCCTCCTCGGTCTCCGCCCCTGCCCCATCCAGGACGTCTTCTCCATCTGCACCTACCACTTCGCCACACCCCACACTTCTCCGCCTTTTCCTGCATCGTAGTGTGCCCGCCGTCCGTACAGTAGCCCTTGTACAAGACGACTTTCTTCTTCGGCTATCTCGCGTGCCCGCGTGGGCGACAGCGCAAGCATCCGCCGCAGGTCTTCTGGCAGGCGCACCTCGACATTTGCAGAGACATGAGCGAGCAGATTATCTCCGTCCTGCGCAGCGTGGGTACCCCAGTCCCACTCCGGCTCCGAATCTCCTAGTCCTGTCGCATCATGTCGTTTGTGCCAGGTATGCTCAACCATCTTGACCTTGTCGAAATTGTCATCTTCGTCATCCTCGGAAAACTCGCCTCCGTCTTGCCCGTCTATCTTCGCAAGCAGCTTTGCCTTCTTGCGCTCGAAACAGCAGGCGTCTTGTTTTGCCTTGCCCTTGCTGCTCCCCACATACTTCGCCGCTGGCGTCTTTGACGCGTCCGCGGAGGCGGCGAGGGCGGGAGAAGCGGCAGGCGCAGCAGCGTGTTCGTGTTCGTGCCCGTGATCGGCGCTCGCTCGTCTGCTGCGTCCGGCTCGTCGTCAGGGAGCGGACGCTTCGCAACAGGGCGTGCAGGGGGTTCCTCCGTCCTCCCGGGACGCCCCTTGGCCGGCCCGACAGCGGACCAGAGATCGTCCCTGCCCGGTATAGGCACCTTGGGAACGCCAAGCCGTCCATTCGCCGCCATCTTCTGCTGCCGCACGCCCTTTGCTCCGTGCCCGTTGACGCCGGCCAGCAGCCCGCGGAGCTTCGGGGCACCCCAGCCCTCGTCGCCCGAAGAGGACGGCGAGAGCGCGCGCGACTTGGGCCTCCTATCTGCGAAGAGGGCCGGCAGCGTGTTCCTGCCATGCGGCGCGGTCTTCGCGCGTGCCGCGTGCGGTGCGCGCGGCGTGGCCTCGTCGAAGAGCACGCGGAAGGGTTTACCACCGGGTGGCGGCTTGACGGGGGTGTCGGTGATGAACGTCGCGTCCTCCGCTGCGCTGTCGCCGCCACTCTCGTCGCCGCTGCTTGCGTGGAGCGTGCGCAGCACCCGCGCACGCTTCTCCTTGACCGGGGAGGGCGAAACGGGCTCGCCGCGGAGGCGCTTGCGCGCGCGTGTCACGGCCGTGCTCGGCTCGGCGGAAAGTACGCGAGGAGGCTGTGGGGGCTGTATGAGGGGGAAAGGGTCCGGAGAAGGGTCACGAAGCTGTGCTTGACTTTGGTAGGAGTCGTGAAGGGATTTGGACGCGCAGGGTCGAGGGTGCGCCGTGAGTCAGTGGCCGATGTACTCGGAACGCGTCTCGATTTGTTTTTCACGGGGGAGAATGGATTGACTGTCTCTGTGGGAGGATCTACCCTGACTGCGCGCGTCTTTGCGACCAGAGAAGCAGACTGTGGTCGCGGAGGTGTGATGGGAAGAGAAGAGGAGATGGCAGATGACGAGGGAATAGGGGCTGACGCGGTGGACTTGGAGAGGGACTTGTAGAGTTTGTACTTTGCGGCTGAGGACGCGTGTTAGATGAGGTGTGTACTGATCAGCACAAAGTTCATACCAATGGCGGGCTGCGCCTTGATTTCATGGATGGTTGGGTCGCGAGCGTGTTTGTTTCTAAAATCTCGTTCCCATGCCTTGATCTCGGAGCGAAGAGAGGCAATGTCCATCGCAAACTGGGCTCAGACTGGTCACAGGCAAGATGCTGGGGAGAGGATGCAGCTGAGAGCGGACGACGCCTGTGGTGGCGCGCACGTGGCCGCTGCCTGTTGTGGCTGTCGCAGGCCGGCAGCATGTGCTTCACGACAGTCTCGTCCCGTCTCTTCATCTTCCCGGGCGCTGCTCTTTCCCTCCTTATTATCATGATTCTCTATTACACCAACGACGGCAGCGACTTGCAGTCTCCAAAGGACAGCATCAGTCCAGGATCCGTCCTTGAAGGTGCGGTACTCGACTTCCTTAACGGCGACGATCCAGAAACTCCAAAACAGAGGGAACCCTCTCCTCCTCCTCCATATCAACCTGTCTCTCTATCTTATCCTGACGAACACTCGCCCCTGCCTTCCCCTGGCTTTTCTCCCCTCCCCACGCCTGCATTCCCGTCTGGCCTTGGAATGCTCGCACAGCAGTCGCGCCCCATTCCTCGCAATCTGTTCGACGATCCTGCATTCTCGACCGACCCCCGTATAAACCCCCATTTTGTAGTCAATCCCGGAGGTCCTTCCAGCTCGCATTCGCAACTCCTCACACCCAACATCGGTCAAGTTCCTCGCTCGCTGCAGCCTGGTCGCTTTCCTCCTACATCTGAGACTCCACACCGCGATCGCTCTCCCAACGTCATACCTCCTACTATCGTCCGGCATGCTCCCATTTCCGCCTCATCTGCATTTCCGCTGCACGACATATGGCATCCTCCTCCTCAGTCTGCATCGTCCAGTGCTAGCTCCAGTACAAGCAGCATCTCGCTGCCGCTGCCGGAGACAACCCCCGAGACGTCGGCGCGCACCACACCGTCCCCGCCGTCGTCCTCGCCGCCTTCAGCTCCCACCATGCTCGAGAGTCAACCCCGAATGCAGCCTGCCATCCCTCAAGCATCTGCATCTATAATCCGTCCTATGCCCCCTGTGCACACTACCTCGGCACCTGATCTCCATAGTCGCCCTCCACCGCCACCCAACACGTTTGCTCGATCTGTAACCGCTCCAACTCCTGGTCCTGCTCCAGTGAAGGCTCAGACCTCATCACGGTCGCATTCCAAACGCAATCGTCATCCGAGCGTCACCGCATTACCAGATCTCGACCGTATCGACGAACTGGACGAGTCCGATCCGCGCGGGCTCGCGTGGCACCACGGTGGGCCGTATGAAGCGGCGCGACGCGCACAGCAGCAGGCCGCTGAACGCGCCGAGAGTCGAGCCAAACAGGTCTGCATGGTACTTCTCTCGCAGGAGTTCTAGCGCTGATCAGACGTGGTTTAGCCAACCCGACACAAGCCGGTGGATCCGAGTATCTCCTCGTTCTCCATCCAGCCAGGTCAGATATTCCCCTCCCACCAACTGTACCATCCTCCACTACAGCAGCAGGTTCCCCCACGACACGCGTTCTTCCCGCAACCTACTTCGGCTCCGCCACCACAAAATTTGCCTCCTCGCCTTGCGAATCCACAGTTCCTGCTCGAAGATCCCTATCGTCGTGAGCATATTCCTGCACGTACACAAATGCCGCCTCCGCCTCCACCGCACGAACAGGCTCCGCGTTTTGAGACCCCTTCCCGCCCTGATGTTCGTCTCCCCGATCCTCGCAATGGAGGTGGTGTATCATATGATGCCGGCCGTTCCTGGACACCACAGCCACGCCCTCCGTCCGTATATGAGTCTTACAACAGCGCGCCACTGCCTCAGGGTTATGATCCTAACATGAATAGACAGACATCACGCCCGAACGTCCCACCGCGCCATGCTGTTACGTCTAATGCGCCACTACGAGACGCTTACAACGTCGGCCCGTCGGCCCAACCCCAACGAGACCCGTTTAACGGCGTACCGCTTGCTCCTAACGTGCGGGAGGCACGGAACAGTGCACCGCCTCCTTCCAGCCAGCGAGACTCATACATTGCCTTCCAAAACCCGCACGCACGTTCAGTCGAAGATCTTCAGCGCGCGCTTCCTGCCAACGGCGTCATCCCTCGGCCAGACATCGCATTTCCCCCGCACGGCGCACCCGTGCCGAACTCGCATCTCCCGCCGCGTCACCGGCCGAAGCAGCTCGTGATGCCCCTTCCGCTCCAGCCCATGGAGACACTGCGCCACCAGCAACTCCAGATGCAGCACCAGCAGGGCCCGACGCACACGACGAGCGCGAGTCTCGACATGGGCCTCGCGCGCGCGCAAACGTATGATAGCGCCGCGCGTGCGCAGAAGCAGTATCAGGGCCCCACGCGCAGCCAGAGCCAGAACACCCCGCAGGGCCGCGCGAAGGACATCCCGATGGCGCCGGGGCCGAACGTCTTGCGCAAGCGCGGGACGCTCTCCGGTGCACCGGTCGAGGTGCCGGCGTCCAACGTCAGCGCAGCGATGTTTGCGGCAACGCGGAATGCTGCACCCGCCCCCCCTGTCGGCCTTGCGCCTGCGTATGCTGAGAGTGCGAAGCCTGCTCATAAGGGGCTGTGGTGCAGGGATCCGATGAAGGAGGAGGCGGAGAGGGATTCGGAGCGGCGGAGTGGGAGGAAGCTGAGCAAGCGCAAGTGATGCTTGGCTGCGAGGTCTTTGCGGCGGGCTTTAGAATCTCCGGGGCGAACATTGCGCTCCGGACTTCTTCCAAATCTTCATTCTTGGTGACATATTCAGCAGTTGTCTGATCTCGTCTTGGTCTAGGTTTCTCTCAATAACGCTCTCGTCGCATCTATTCACTGTGCATCTCATCTCAGTGCCTCATTGTTTCCTGCATTCACACATCACCTGTCGCTCCACCATGTCTCATGATCAAGTCCTCTCCTTATGCATCTCCCACGAACACTAATCTCTCATACTTACCTCAGTCTGTTGAACCATCTAGACTGGCTAATGACCATAACCTCCAATATCCTTTTTGCTGTGTAGTAGTGCTGTAATCATCTGACCCTGTTCTCTCGTTTAGTTCATCCTGTGTTTATATGATGTCTGTACACCCTAGGCCTGTAACATCTGCAATGGACTTGATTTTATGCCAGTATTTTCCGGATGATTGAAGAAAATGAAACTCCTCGGAACAAAAACAGACCCCTATGGGGCGGGTGCAATATTGATTTGCATTACCGCTTCTTTCAGCGAGGACCTGTGGCGCAGCGGTAGCGCGTGTGATTCCAGCTATGCATCAATCCATGTGGTGCAAAGTCCACAAGGTCATCCGTTCAAACCGGGTCAGGTTCATTTTTTGTTCTACGTACTCCACTTGATTGTGTACTTCAAGCATTCTAAAAAATAACATATAACCGTCCCGAGAACAACACATTAGAACTCCTGTGGGACCCGGCAAGCTACCTACCGCAACTCAGATGGTACATAAGCTCGCAACGGAGTTCATCTGTGACCGTCCGCGGCAGCAGCGGGTCTGCAAGCATCTCTGATCATGAGCCGCTCCATGAACGTCAGGCCCTTCGCACTCAGCTCCTGGTCTAGCATTATATGACTCTCTGCATTCATCACGAGCAGCGAATCCAAGTCCTCCGCCGTGAGGATCCCCAGCTCGCGGAAGATCGGCGCGTGCTGCGCGAGTGACGGCCTCAGCCCTCCTAGGAATCCGCTGACCGTCCTCGCCCCAGCACGAGACGAGCCACCCGCGCTGCCGCCAGAGTCCGCGCCGCCGGCGCGCCGCGGCGCTGCTGCAGTCGCGCGCGCGACGGCGTCTCGGCGCCATGTCGACCAGGCCGCTGCGCACCACCAGACACTCCATGAAGCTCAGCCCGTGCGCGCTCAGCTCGCGCCGGAGCACGTCCAGCACGTCGTCCTGCATGAACGCCAACGTCTCGAGGGGGCGGCGGTGCTGATCCCGAGCGCGGTGAAGGTGGGGACGTAGCGGGAGAGCGACGGCCTCGTGCTTGTGAGGAAGACGCGCACTTGGGGAGGTGCGCCGGACGCCGCGTTGGACGTCGCGTCGTGGGGAGTTCGTCCGCTGGAGCTGCTCGACAAGCCCGATGATGATGCTGGTGGAGGCGCAGGTTGTTGTCGGCGTGTAAGGGTAAAGAGGGACGACTGGAGGATTGCGGGGAGCTAGACTGCGCAAGGGGCAATTGCCAGGGGGCGTTGCGGGCGCGCTCTGGAGCAGACACCCCCAAGGCCCGGAGATACATTGCTCCACTTCGCCCCTTGTGCACGTTTGGTTGCACCTCTTTTGATTCAGCAATGTTCTGTTCGCGCGCCAATTCGGAGACAGGGTGTATGGCAGTCGGAATTGTAGGAGGATTTGCAGGACTCTCATTTTGCTCCTCCTCGTCCGATATCTCTGAGAGGTCGGAGGATAACGGAGAAGAAGAACGCGTATGGCCGGTAGTAGGACGTACTGGCACCCGACGCGGGGATCGAAGAACGACGTCTGGAGATAGCGATGTTCGGATATCTACGGAATATGCAGTATATTGGTGCTGTGGTTCATCGTATGCAATTGAAGCAAAAAACATACAGGGTGCCTTCAAGCCCCGCAATCTGGCTGACTTCCGAGGGCGTTTTGCTGCCAAGAGACCTCTGTCAGAATACCTGCGCTCCTTCAGACACATACTATGACTTACAGGGCCTCCTAGTGTGCATTCCTCCCGCCTTGCGACTCATGGGCACCCCGAGGGAGCTAAGTAAATCTGGCCGGTAATCTCCAGATACATCCCAGTCCTCATCCCCCCCCCATCTTCGTCGACGATATTGGTGTCTTGCACGGGCTCGTCCTTGATCTGGACATTGGAAGCGTTCACTGGTGCAGCAGGCACCGTATAGGTGCCAGGCTCGTCTACGACGATGATCTCGCCAACGCGTCCGTCGGCATGGTCTTCGTCCTCTCGCAGATCATCACAGGATCGGTTCTGGATGTGTCGCTTCACGGACGTCTCGCTGCAGCTCAACCAGTCTGCGATGGATTGAGTGTCATGTCCCTTGAGATACATGGAACGTATCACGCCACGCTTGGTGCGAGAGAGCGGTTCGTTTCTGTGCACACTTAAATCAGTGTTTGTCATGGGTGCTACGAGCGAATAGCGACACCTTGCACCACCCATGTCGACTGCTACCAGTGCATGCGCACAGTTTGGGTGTCTAGAGATGAGGCAAGGACTCGACACGAGTTATGCCGTGATAACAATAGATAATCGTGCGAATCAACACTTCGCCGTTACGCCCGCACAGATGCCGCACATTACGGGTGTGTACACGCCGTGTAGTGAATGCGGACATACACCTTATGGCCTTGAGTTTCAAGACCCAACGGGGGCAGTGAACATAATAGAGCAGACCTAGTTAAGCACACGCGCTCAGTACGACAACTATCACCGAGCCAAATTCTCGTAAAACTTCACTATTCCAGATATTCCAGGACACACCGCCAACCGTACACGTTCGTGCTCCCGCCGCATGACAGCCTTGCCTCTCCCCTCCAGCCACGCGACCACACCGCCATTGTGCACCATGTCGCTACGGTCCTTGACGAACCGCGCAAGTTGGTCCCGCTGAATGGACCACTTCAACCGGCGCATGACAGAGAAGAGCGCCGGCGAGATCGCGCCTAACGGCGCTTCGTCCGGGAGCACGCGTACAGAATACATGCGCGACCGCGTCGTGGACGAGCGCCGGCGCAAGGTAGACTCGACGACATTGGCTGCATGCGTGCGCTGGAGGCGGAGCGAGTTCTCGTACTGCGTCACCATCTAACCAGAAGGTCAGTTCTCGAGACCCAGGAACATAATGATCAGACAGACGCACATTCTTGGAATGAAAGTACATCCCCGCTCTCCAGCGTCTTTCCACTCCCAAGCCTCGCATGATACCCCGGTGGACGAGATCACCGACGGTGGGTCGCAAAGGCACGCCTGCTGGACTCTGCGCGAATAACGAATGCGAGACACGAGACGGCGCCACGACCTGGAGGCGTAGACGATGAAGAACGGGATCCTCGGAAAGACATGCGAGAGTAGGAGAGAGTTGTCCAACACTAGCAAGGTCCGGGAGGTCCAAGAAAGAAACTATTCGAGAACATGAGCATAAGGTAGATGCTTCCTGGAAAGTCGACTCACATATGTACAACAGGATTTCCGGAGGAACGATGAGCAGAAGGTTGTCAGATACAGCGTACATCTCCAGTAACTATTCGCAATGACAACGAAATGAGGTGATGGTAGAAAGAGAAAGTGAGGCCAGGCAACGGAAGGTGAACGGTTGTGGTGCTCGTCTAGATTCGAGGCATGTGCCGCATGTGGCAACCAACCGCGGTCAGCATATGACCACGTGACTGTAACACGCGGTCTCCGCCACGGACACGCACGCTGCAGAATGACGAAACAGAGGAAGACTATGGGTTCCATTACAATCCACAATTACACAGTACGCTGACAAGCTATATCCAAGCCTACTGCTGGTGCATTAGCATCAAGAAGAGAATGCGGAACAAATGCTCACACGCACCGACGGTAACACCGAATATAACAATGCAGATTCAAGCGGATGTATTGCGTGCGGCTGAACGCGCCCCTGAGCGTTTCTTTCCGCCACGGCCTGTTCGACGCGCGCGCTTCGCACTGCAGCTATCACAATACCATGTCCCTTCAGGAGGCGTCTCAAGTCCGATACATGGAAGATGGAACTGCAGGGAGAGCAGCAGGTCAATGACGTCCCCATGCTCGATCCGCAGCGATGCAACTCACCCATTCTCGCTCGCAGCTGTCGTCGTCGCAAGCAATCATGTCTCCGTAACTCACCCTATTACAGAAACAGTACGTGCGCATGTCGTCCGCATCGCCGTCTACCTCTGCTGTCGCTCCGAGAACAGACTCAACAGTCTCCAAAACAACAGGAGGTCCGGGCCGCACCACGGGCATGCCAGGTCCTTCCAGCTGCCCATGCGCCCACTCCATCATAGGGTTCGGCACACGAGTACCGTTTGCTCCGTGCAAGCCGTTCGGTGCACCATGTACGTACGGAACGGGGAGAGATGGGTGTGAGGTTGAGGATGACGGAGCAGCGATGAAAAAGTCTCCACGGGCAGGCGGGCCATTGACAGAATTATGAACATCGGAGTTATTGTGCGTGGCGCGCGGACGTTTGTTGCTTGATGCAGTACTGGGTACGCGTGCGGACATGTTCTGGCGGGAGTTTGAGGGTCCTGCGGATGGGGGAAGGTGGGAGGCGACCGAAACCAAGGACTCCGTAGGAGAGGCTGCCCGCTCTAGCCTATGGTGCAGGAGGCTAAATATATGATAGATGCGTGGACAAACGAGACAAAGCGTACTTTTTTGCTCTGGCACCATTACGTGGTCGCGCTGCGTCACCCGTCCTGTCCTTTCTAGGCGTCTTCACAACCTCATCATCATCCCTCGCGGCCCTCCTCCTCTTGTTGGGACTCGCATCCACAATCGTATTTGCTGACAGGGCGGGGTTCCTCCGCGGTCTTCTTCCGCCTTCACCGGCTGTGCCGGTCGGTAGAAATGATCGTGGCGCTACATGAGGGTATACGGTCTTGCGATCCAGCTGGTCGACAATGACCTCAAAGTCCGCATCCGGAATATATTCAAGGAGTGTCTTCATGTGTGTCCTGTGCCCGCGCAGCCCGTCCGCAGCATGACATGCGACTCTGATCTTGTCCTCACCACCGAGCTTGAGCCGCGTCGCCTCCTCCGCAATCTCCGCAAGGAGCCAGAGGCGGTCCTCCTTGGGAGCAGTGCCGGTCTCGATCATGGTGGTAAGCTGCGTTATCTTCGAAGTGAGGGCGGACATGGAGGACGACAGGACGGCGTCGAGTTCGCGCAGGTCGGCGAAATTGCGGGACAAGTCAAGCGGGAGGGAGTCGAGCGTGTGGGTGTACTCTGAGAGGAGCGCGAGGGAATGAGCTTTGGCTGCGACGCCGGGGCTGGAGAGGTGGTGACCACGTCGAGACATGTTTGCTGGTGACGAAGACGCGCAAGTGAAAGGCCTGCACCGGTTCTGGAGAGGAGGACCAAGGTGTGCGCACGGACCTTTTCCACTCTCGCACGTGACTCCGTCGTGCCGCGCCTAATTAGTCAACGCGCTGCAGCCGCCATCCCGCGACCGCAAGTCGAACGGACACTTGCCTAATTAAGCCCAAGAAAAAACATACTGCCGCTACATAGAGTACTTGACGAGATCATCCAATTCCATGTCAATGCGGACGGCATAGTGACTACAATATTTCAAGTTGCTCGCGCGTCTCTTCTGCA